CACACTTCTTAACAAAAAGAGGAAGAGGTTGAACAGAAGCATTTGTGGATATTTTCATTAGCTTATTCGAAAATACTTTGTGTTCACTTCAATGTACCCATGTGTATGGTTTGATAAAAATAGAATGACATTTGGGCGAATGATTTTCATTGGTTGAGAAGAAAATTTCAGCTAAGTCTTGTATTAAGAAATAGAGCAGTGTTGTTTTTGTAAGTCAGACTTGTACGGCTCGAAAAACCGTGTATTAAGGGTGTACACACGGTAAGGCTAGAACTTAAGTTCTATGACTTATAAGGCAAGCCTTATCGTGTGTACCGGCCCTTAGGATATATCGAGGGGATGGATCCCGGACATTGTCATCGCTTGGCTGACATTCCAAAGTCATTCATCATGGAAAAACTGGCCTCAAACAATCGTCTTTAAAATATTCAAAACAGTTCACTGTATACTGTGAGGGTCCATGCCAGTCTACTCTCGTTAACTCCACAAATTGAGCTTGCTGCTTCTCGTCTTTGGGAAAAAAGTGAAGCGTGATTGAGTCCGCGACAGTCTGTTGCTGCATCCCCCACAGCACACTTTCGTCTTCTGGATTTTCCACTCATTTTTTCAAGTAAAACAATGTCTTCTACTCTTAGATTGTTTACTTAACTTTGGGCGTCAAAGCAGTTATAATACGTCACTTTCGGATAGAGCCTCGTTTTCGTTACCATAAAGATATGTTTACGTATAAATTTCAGTTTTCGCCGAATATCTCGCTTACGGTGAAAAATTTAAACCATTTTTTTTCGGGGGGGGGGGGGCGCTATTAAAAGTTAATTACTTTAAAATAAGCCCAACATATGTTGCTACCTCATTGGCACTTTAATAATAAAAAGAATTTTTAAAAATCTTGCATATGTCTTATGGCACCTTTTTTCTGGTTTCTGCCCTAAACTGAAGGGACTGGGGTTTATAGTGGTCCAAAATTCCGCTCCATCCAGGCGTCCACATAAAAACGATCCCTAGCTATGCGCCTACTAATTTAAGAAAACTAAACTTGTAAATACGCGTTAATATATTTCCTTAGCCATACTAGAATCCTCCAACAAAGGCTTTTTGCTCACATACAAATCCACATTTTGTTTACATGTACTCTGCATTGTACAGATTCTTAAATGCTTCTTGTTTGTTGCAAAAGAAAGTTTCATGAGTAATCCCAACCCTTCAATACTTCAATTTTTTATTTTGAGATTGAAAACAACACCAGGTTCCACTGGTTTGGTTTGTTTACTTTTTGTTATGTATTAAATTGTTTTTCATTTTTCAACATTTCCCCATTCTGCTTCCTAATTAGTAACCCTTCTACATAACATAATTCACAAACTGTATTTCCCATCGGAAGGGAAAAAAATCAGGAAAGATCGTTCATAAATAATTTTTTGAGCTATAAAAGTTTTAACCAAAAAAAAGTGTTACACATAAATAATACCTATGAAGAGTGAAAACATTTTCAGGTCACCTGAGTAAACTTTTCGTCCGCCGTCGCGCGTTAACATTTGAACATTTTGAGCTTTTTCTCTGATACTGCTCAACCAATTTCAACCAATTTTGGCAAATAGCATCTAGGAGTGAAGGGGAACAACAATTGTGAATTTCATTGTCCCTGCCCCCCTGGGGCCTGAGGGGTGGTGCAAAAACCACTTGAATTAATGTAATTTTAATTTTCTTCTTTACTCCTGAACATCAAGAAGTCAAATTGTTGGCATAATTGTAATAAGCATTGAGCCCTGTACCATGATTTTGAAATTCATGGCCCCAGGGTCAGGTGTTCTGGAGCTAGGGCGGGGCTCTGTTGAATATATAGTGAAAATGCATTATTTCGTAAAAATCTTCTCTGCTCCTGGACATAAAGCAAACAAACTAAATGCAAAGTTTTAATGCGGAAGGGTGCCTCTTCCGCTCCAGAGCATTGAGCTGTACTGAGTAGATGGTTATGAGGAGGAGGGGGCCTCTTCTAAAATTGTGAATTTCATTGTCCCTTGGTCAGAGATTCTGGTGCTAGGGCGGGCTCTAATGATTATATAGTGAAAGTGCATTAATTCTTTGAAAATCCTCTCCTCTGCTCCTGGGCATTAAGTCGATGTACTAAGTACATGGTTATAATGAAGAAGGGTGCCTCTTCCAAAATTGTTAATTTCATGGCCCCTGGTTCAGGGGTTCTGGTGTTAGGGCAGGGCTCTATTGATAATATAATGAAAAATGCATACATTCTTTAAAAATCTTCTCTCCCCCTGTATATAAAGAAGATAAGCTAGGTGCATGATTATGATGATCAAGGGTGCCTCTTCCAAAATTGTGAAATATTTCGATCCAAGGTAAGGGGTTCTGCGCGCAGAGGGGGGGGGGGGGCTCTATTGATAATATAGTGAAAGTACATTATTTCTTTGAACATCGTCTTCTCTGCTCCTAAGTATTTTGCAGATAAACCAAATATCTATTTATGATGAGTTAAGCAAAATTGTGAATATCTTGGCCCCTGGGTCAGGGGTTCTGAGCGGGGTTCTATTGATCATATAGTGAAAATGCGTGATTTCTTTAAAAATATTTCACTCTCTTACATTTATAAAGAAGATAAACTAGGTGCATGGTTATGATAATCAAGGGTGGTTCTTACAAAATGTGAAATGTGTGGCCACAGGTCGAGGGGTTTGCAGGAAGGGGGGGGGGGCTCTATTGATTATATAGTGAAAGCGCATTATTTTTTAATTTCTCCTCTGCTCCCAGGTATTTAGCAGATAAATCAAATATAAAGTTATCATAAGCAAGGGCGCCTCTTCCAAAATTGTAGAATCTTGGCCCCTGGGTCAAGGGTTCTGGTATTAGGGCGATGCTCTATTGATCATATAGTGAAAATGCATTGATTCTTTAAAAATCTTCTTCTCTCCCTCTGTATATAAAGCACATAAACTAGGAGCATGGTTATGTTGATCAAGGATGCCCCATCCAAAATTGTGATATTTGTGGCCCCAGGGTGTGGGGTCCTGTGATAAAGGGGGGGGGGGGCTCTATTGATTTTTATTTGTTTGTTTGTTGTTTAACGTCCCTCTCAAGAATATTTCACTCATATGGGCACGCCACCACTTGCCGGTGGAGATATGTAAATTTATACCTATACTCGGCACTCAGGGCCATTGAGCAGTGAGGGATCTTTTTCGAGCCAACACCAACTGCAACACAGGACCTCGGTTTATACGGTCTCATCCGAAGAACCGGTCTCCACGTCCCACAGTGGATTCGAATCCGGGGGCTCTATTGATTATAAAGTGAAAGTGCATTATTTCTTTAAAAATTTTCTTCTCTACTACTAAGTATTAAGCAGATAAACCAGATATGATAGTTATGATGAACAAGAGCGCCTCTTCCAAAATTGTGAACATCTTGGCTGTTGGGTCAGGTGTTCTGGTGTTAGGGTGGGGCTCTAACGATAATACAGTGAAAATGCATAAATTCTTTAAAAATCTTCTTCTCTGCCATCTTATATAAAGAAGATAAACTCGGTGCATGATCATGATGATCAAGGGTACCTCTTCCAAAATTGTGAAATTTGTGGCACCAGGGTGATGGACCCTGTGGAAGGGGGTGGTGGTGCTCTATTGATTATGTAGTGAAAATGTATTATTTCTTTAAAAATCTTCTTTTCTTCTCCTAAATATTCAGCAGATAAACAGTCTGTACATGTACTCATTATTTTTCCCAACTCTTTTTTTGTCCACCACTTTTGCTAAAAGTGAAGGATATTAATTTGGGTCTAGCCGTCCGTCTGCCTGTTTCTGAGTGTAACACTAATGATTTTCCGGATGATGTTTCAAAATGTTCTATAGGTTTTGTATTGAAATGCTATATCCTAACTCCCTAAAACTTTAGGACTCCGAATGATTTTGAGACAAAATGTAAAATGCCAACGTAAAAATAAATATACTAGTGTTGCAAAAATTGTTTCCAATTGATAACTTAAGTTCTGTTTGAGCTTTAACGATAAAATTTTAATTCCACATTTCCTGTTACTAAAAGGACTTTTGTCATAATGATTGATTTTTAAGCCAAAAACTGAAAGGTCTAGGTCAGAAATTTCTATATTGCTTACTTTGGTTTCCAGATAACAACTTTACTTTTCTTTGAGCTTTTACAATGAAATTTTATATCATAACTCCCTATCACTATTTGCTTTTGAAATCAAAGATCATAAGTGATGGTAAAAAAATTCTATAATTGTTAACTTTAGTTTGCAATGAAATCATAACTCCCTTTTACTTAAAGAAGGACCTATATTGATTTTAGCTTTAAAAAATCAAGGTTAAAATTCATCTATTGATCAAATGGTTCTCAGATAAAAACTTCAGTAGCTTATAAGCTTTTGCACTGAATTTTAAATCATTTATTCCTATGACTTAAATAAACTCTATATTGATTTTGAGGTCAAAAATCATAGGTCAGAAATTCATACAATTCAGATGATACAATGTAACTTTAGTTTTCTTTGAGCTTTTGCCATGAAACTTAAGGGAAAGACTACCTCCTCTAACAGAAGAAAAAGCCCAAATCATAAGGCAAAAAGTTGAAAGGTCAAGGTCAATCCTTTTCTTTTTCTGCATGAGCATTTTTTTAGGCCTTCAACCATTTATTTTCAATGATTTAGTTTGTTTCTATTTGTTGTTTGCTTCAATTTGAATTAAAATCCTTTGGGACAAGAACATCATATTCTAAACTGTAACAATAAACATCACATTGATATTTATATTAAGAGATCTTTGAACCAATGCAAGCCATGAAACAAGCTAAATTCATAAAACTTAGGCCCCCCACTTAAGGAAAATAAATGTTTGGATGGGAGACCTAACTAAAAGCAGACAGGGAAAGAAAAAAAGATTAAAAATAAAATATGTGAATGAAAATGATATTCTTTTTTATTTCAAAAAGCAAGAAATCAAATTTATCATTCAAATCGATGTCAAAATTAATCAATGTCTTTCGCTGATTTTTTTTTATTATTATTATTTACGAAAAATACAAACGTCATTTGAATATTTGAATATTGATTTATGCTTTTAGTCTAATAACCAGACACCGGTCACTTATTTAATTACCCTGCAAATTGTAACTAATGATGTAAATGATTATTTGCTTCATTTAGTACTGTGACCTTCAGTTAAATTGGGATCACTGTCAACATGTTTCAGCTGTTTTAAAGCTTCGTCATATCCGCCGGAAGAATGTTTACTGCTCCTCGCACTGGCGGTTTGTGCGACTTCCGGCGCGACACCACCACCTATCGGGGGTTGTGATGGTTTACTATGACTTAATTTTTCACTTGTTCTTTTGTCTGTAAGGTTACCACCACTTGACCGCGCAGACTGCCGCTGTTTCAGTCGTTGCTCCACGCGGCTTTCCATGCTTGAATTTTGCGTATCTTGAGTATCAACTTTAGTTTCACTTTTGCGGTTAGGATTGCCAACTATTTCACTTTGGCGCTGCCTGGATTTTTCGGCATGTGATGTTCGTACATTGGACAACTGTAAAGAATGAGCTCTTTTTGCTTTGTAGTGACTGTCAGATTCAGCACTAGACACAGGTATGTTGGATGATCTTCCGGCTTTAACATCATTTCCAGAACTACTAGTGGCACCGTTCAAACTTGATTGTAGTTCAGTCTTCTTTCCCTTTCCAGTACTACCAGGGGCACTTATATTAGATGAATTTGCATTTTTCATTTCGTCAATCGAACTGTCATTGATGCTTGATTTCGAAGACCTAGCTTCTTTATTTTCCTTAACTGTATAGCCAGATATTGCAGGCACACTGATTTGACCCTCACTTTCACCATTTGGTGCAATGTCATGCTTCTCACCCTGGATGTTGTTTTCTTTGACCCCAGATCCGTTTATGATCTCCATGAGGTTAAGATCGTTCTGGCCCTGTAGTTCCTGTAATTTAGCGTTTTGAGTGGCCTCCTCTATCTCGAAGAAGGAGGGGTCATTGACCTGTAATAACTGCATCGCTATGTCACTTCTTCTGTTGTCTGCGTCCGCGTCCATAAATCCAATCTCCTCCTCCGGTCTCTTGTTTCTTTGTTTGTACTTCCTGTGCAAAAAAGTAGCAATTTTAAACGAAAAAATCGAGTAGAAGAAATTAATCAGACTCACTTTTTCTTTATTCATAGAGAGAAAGTGATAGAAACATTGATGCAAGGGTCAAATTTGGGCTGCAAGTATTAGTGTTTGCAAAATGTGGAATTGCATTCAAAAACAACCAGGAATATCCGGAATTCTTATTCCTTGTAACCTTCTGAATGAAAATATTAAAAAATAATTATGAATTTTTGATATTGTATTGGAAACTACCAGGCATTTTCAATCTAAGTCAAGTAGGATTTCTTTAAAAAAGATTTTTATTCATTTTTTCTTTATTTTTGGAATAGTCTGATGTAAATATTGTATAATCATTGAAAACAAATTTGTTCTAAATTTATTTACAATGCAAGTTGGTTAAAACACAATGTTCAATAAATCTGCATCAGGCCCGTAGGAAGCAATTTCAGTTTCGGGGGGCACAACCATAGATTTTCAGTTGAGGGGGCACTATCAACTACCAAAAATTCCTTGACAAGCATAAAAAAAAGGTCATCAGACATTTCCATTGAGGGGGCACAAGCATATAGTATCTATTTTTTCTATAGTACTCTAAAATGTCGGCAAAATTATTGGGGGGACACGCCCTCCCGTGCCCCCCCCCCCCCCCCGGTTCCTACGGCCATGTGCATAGAATACACAGATAGACGCAGAGTCCTTTAAAATCACGGGATCACATCCCGGCAGCTCATTATTATACAGTTAAAGTATACCAATGAGGGAGTTAGCAAGATTCCAGTTCCCCAAGGCAAGGACTATTTCCCGCGGCTTCGCCTCGGGAAAAAGTCCTGGTCGAGGGGAACTGGAATCTTGCTAACTCCCGCAATGATATACTAGTAATTTTAACTGTTTTATTATACCGATACAAACATAAAATTTAGAGGTTTCAGATAGCGTGACTTCATAGCAAGGATTAGCTTACTGAAGTAACACACGGGGATTAGTCCATTCACATATCATACCAATGTAAAAGTAAAATCTAGAGGATTACGAAGAACCGGGAATTAGCTTTTGATGCAGGGATTAGCTCACTTGACTGACGCACGGGGATTAGTCCATTCAAAACGATTTCTAGGGAATTAGTCACATCTAACGATCTAAAGTTATGTAGGGAAAAAATCAGTAGAGGTATAATATATAATTCTAAAGAGAATAAAATAAAGTAAAACATATAATAAATATTGATTTTATTTACCTTTGACGATTTTTCCGATACACAAAGACAACCACTATGCATATCACTATTAGAAAGACAATTCCACCCAAGACTGCAGCGGTAGGTAATTCTGAAAATAGACATCTTCAAATATACTATACCCCACTATAATGTTTTGTTTATGCAGTTCAGTAATAATGTCCATTGTTTCTGTTGCATTGGTAAACAAAAAAAAAATTAAATTAAAAATTTTAAAAAAATCTTGAGTTCTGCATTAAAAGTTTCTACATGGCAAGCAGTATATGAACTATAAAACGTATTATGATTATAACATCTTAACATCATTATATAACATTTTAACATCATTATGGATCCTTTATAGTTTTCAAAATATTTGGAATTTGGCAAATATCCAGTGGGATTTTCCATTAAAGAGACTTTGACAGTTTTAGCACTATATTTAGCATTAAGTAACGATCGACAATTTCCAAACGTCTATAGGGAACATTTTGATCTCCATCAAATATATATATAGGAAACATCTTAATCTCCATCAAATACATATATAGGAAAGATCTTGATCTCCATCATATACATATATAGGAAACATCTTAATCTCCATCAAATGTATATATAGGAAAGATCTTTATCACCACCAAAGGGAGGAGGCATTGGTTTGGGCAAGGTGACCTTTATCAAGTTTATTGTCCCCTAAGACAGCAACTATTTCTCGAAGCATGTGCAGTCTAGGGAAAATGTCTGTCTCTCACAAAATAGAGACATTCGTTTGTTGTTTCTTTGGTGAACTAAGAAAAGAATTTTGTAATGCTTCTCTGTTGCTTCTTAATCTTGGATTCCGCTTAAAGTTAATATACAACATTTTAAAGTATTTTGAATTATCTGAAAATATTCTTTCTAAAAAAAAAAAAGCAATTGAATTAATTAAGCTAACCCCCTTTTCAACACCTGGATATAATAAAACATCAGATGAGAGACGTACGTGATTTCACAAATGGTTTATGACCGTCTTTGTTGTTGTCGTTGTTGTTACCAGACCCAAGTACATCAGGATCTGTTGTTAAATTTCTTTGTTGGATTCTTGTGGTTATCCCAGCTGAAAACACAGAGGTTGATACCTCTCTACATCATATTTTCCTCTAATGTTATTATAAATTTGCTAAACATTTTCACGTTTTTTACACGATTGAAGTTACATCCATTAAATTAAAAGCTTCTCCCTTTTCTACTTACTTGTGACGTGATCAGTCGCTGTTGTTGTCCCCGTTCTTTCTGTTGTATAGGCCATCACTGTCGTGTAGCTGCCTGAAACATTGGACGTAGCAGTAGACATTTTACAGTTTTCCTCAGAGCACAGTTTTCAAACAAGGAAATCATCCGAATAAAAATATTTTTTTTCAAATTTAAAAAAAAAAAAGCTTTTATACCAGGAGACGAAGCTGCTTATTTCCGTTTGAAAATAAACATGATGTAAGCTTATTCAATAATTCAAAAAAATCACGAAAAAATGATAAGAAATTACAAATCCTTCAGTGACAAGAAATCCACGTGCATAAACAGTCAGTTCATCGTTTGTTTGCTATTTAAAAGAGGGTGAGGACGAAGAGGTCAGAGGTCGAATAAATAGGGGTTTCCTGTCGTTCTCTTGTGACTGACAAGGCAGATCCGAATACAAAACTCATTGCTGTCTGACATCATAAGATAAAGTTTGCTGCTGAGATTTATTATTTACTTAAACATGTCTTTTGTTAACTATGAACACTGATTATTTGTAAACCTCTCGACTTGAGACGCGTGTCTCAGTACATGTTAGATTTAAATTTAAAAATATCTAGTAATAGATACATTTAAACGAGATTTCAATTTTGAATGTAACATTTTTAATAAGATACTGAGGTTTGTATGTTTTTATTGAAATTGTTAAACCAAATAGGAGGAAAAAGGAATACAGAATAGAAGGAATATAAAGAGGAAAAAAGATTGAGATGGAGGAGAGAGAAGGGGGTAGGGGAAAAGAGGGAAAGAGAGAGAGAGGAGAAATACCCTAGCCAAAAAATCAAAGGGCAAAGAAGAAAGAGTTCGAAAGTAATACCAAAATTAATTAAATCATACTTAAATTTTTACCTTCAAATTGTTATCCAGAATACACAAACCCTAAAAGTTGACATTATTTTCAACCACACTAGAACATTTTACACACATCCGGTGGTAATGTCTTTGTCCGCTTTTCACAGGAAAACGGTGTCTCCTACAAGTACTTAGGAAGCGAGGACAGAGTGAACGTTTATATCTCATTGTATTAGACAGTATATCCTAATTCATTATTGTTTTATATTACATGTACATCCATTTGAACGATATGTATATCATATGCATGCATGTTCCTCTATTTACACAAGTATTAAGTGATGTCGATAAGAACTCTAAACACTGTTTGCCTTACATATATCTGGAATTTGGATTAAATTAATGTCGAAAATTGTAAGCGTTCAAGAAAACTTGACTCCACTTGAAATAACTTTATCAAGATTCACGAGAAACAGCTTTAGATTGGTCGCTTCCGGTTTTGTCTGACACCTTGTCATGTGATCGGAAGTTGATCGGGATATTCTTAAGTCAATTATGACTTCTAAGTAGCATCATTTTTCTGAGTAGATAACACTAACTAACCTTTGATGTATGATGTGACGTCAGGAGTGCCAATAAAGTTTCGTTAATATTCGTCTAGATGCTGTACGTCTTGTAAGTTAGAAAAAAAATGGTTCAAATTCGGTTTTGCTTTAGGAAATTTAGCATAAAAATTTTGTCGAATACATTGAAATACGTGCATACGAGTAAGCTGGTAAACAGAGATTTCATGAATTTTAATTATGGAAGGAATTAGAACGCCCCACGTTTCCGAATAGGTAAACTTTTCTGGACGGCCACGATTTTGTATTGCGCAAAACCTTTATTTCTAATTCTATTCCTGCCTCAGTATAACGTGAATTTATTTTTGTATTTAGGGTGTTGTCTTCATGCTCATCCTTTGTTTCAGTTCTATATTTGGTTACATTAACACTGCATTTTAACGAAGTTAATGTTCCTTTTTCCCACGAGAGCATGATGTGTTTTTTTTAAATTTTTGGTAATGAGGAAAAATGTACTTGTGTGCCAATTATTTTTCTCTTTCAAATTATACCCCAAATTAAGGACCATGCTACCTTGATAATAAAGGCCGGAAATAGTTACCCCATGCATTCTCAAAATGAAGTACTAGTCACATCCTTCATTTTCAGAATTTATACAAGCATCAATTTTGGAAATACATAAGAAGTTTCTGTGGCTATATATACTATTATAAGGCAATCAGCAGTAATGAGTTAATAGAGTCAATATAAGACTTGTTTTGATATCCATACTATGTACGTAAAAGTGAAATGTTTCCATAATAGGACTATGTTTTAATTTTTCTAATGGAACCCTTACGGTTTATGTAAAACAAGTATAATTGTAATAGCTTCATAAATAAAGGTAGTTTACTAAAGCTTAATTTAGCTGTAGAGAAAAGTTTCTACATGAATTTAACAAAAAATGTTGATATTTAAAAGACAGCAACCGAAAATACTTGTGATGGAGAAAGCAAGAAGTTGAAGCCTAGCAAGGCGCTCAAGAAAAATTAGAGACAAGTTTTACAGCGGAGCATATTAAGTGCTTGAATACTCTGAAACGGTTTTAGAATCAGCATTTCGAAATGGCATTACCAATTTTATGTTATATTTACAGTACCTTCTTTCGTTTGTAAGGGATTTATTGTACAGAGAGACGTGGCAGTCGAGTTGCGCAGTAACGAGACTGTCACGCCTCTCTGTACAATAAATTCCGAAAGTGTCTGTAAATGTCTTGTGTCATGGTCATTTGCATAGTCACTCCTTCAGCACCAAACTGCACGGGACATTACGTCACAGGCCTAAGTCCATCGTAAGTGTACAGGGTGTTCAAACAAAGCATTAAGTACAAAGGAGATGGTTGCAATGAAAAATTAAACGATGATAAACGAGTGTGCAGTTGTATTTGATGGATTAATTCAAGCAGTATAAGTATTTCAAAAACCATAATATACACAGGCACAATACTGAAAACTTGGATCCTCCCGCACTAGGATCCGCTACATTACTGTTACTAGGAATACGCTGGCATGTCTTGAGGAAATCCGAGGCAATTACTGTAGCCACAGGTGTCAAAATTATGGAATGTAGTGTGAAAGAGTCCAAATACAGTGTATATACCAACATGTATCCGTTTGCATGTAACTCAAGGAACCCAGAAAACAGGTGCTATTAAGGAAATCATCGAAACTGTGCGTGTTTTGAATATTGCCAGATTTCAATTGTATCTGTTTTAATTTGAATACATGTATTTCATAAAATTCTGTGTCTTTTTAAAATTTTTGTTTAAGCAGTTAACTAATGAGTTTATATGCATTCCTCTTGAAAATGGTTTTCACGTATGCATTTACAAATAGAAGGGAGAAGGGTGAATTTTGTGAGGTTTCTCGTGTTTCCTCTGGATAGGTTGTATATGCTTACAGAAGTTGAAGAAAAAATTCAAAAAGTATTGAGTTTTTTTTTGGAAGTTATTGTACAGTACATTGGAAAATATTGTACTGCTAAGCTCCGTTCCCTAGAAGTTATAGTTCGTTGGAATTCAGCCAAAGGTTTTCTATCTGATTTAGAGAATGGCTAACATCAAAAGAAAAAAGTACAGCACCACGACACAATGAAAAGTTAAGCAGACTGTGATCCAGTGAGAAATACTAGGTTTAAAGCACAGCAGTTCTATACGAGATTTGACACCTTAAAAAATGTATTGTACTTTGACAACTTTAATAGGATCCAAAGCCATGCAAATGTCACCAGAAAATATTGAATCCTATCTAGATCTGTACATTAACAATTTAATTTCAATTTGAAATGAAACAGATATAATATTTTGGGAGAAAATATGCAGGAACTTCATTTATAACATTCTCTTTAGTTCGATGAAATCCTAATACCGGTACATATAATCCTATATTATGATGTGTCGAATAATTCCACATTTCCTTATTAATCCACTCAACTTAATTAAAATTAGAATATATTTACTTTTTGATTGTACCTTCTAAATGAGATCATAAGTTCATAATTACATTTTATATTATGATTTTTAATTTAATGTAGTCTTAATGACATTAGTTAAGTATATTGAGTAAGTCGCATTTCTACGGAAGCCAGTAGGTGCCAGGTAGAAAAATATTTTATCTGGCGGCCGCCAGATAAGTTTCTGGCGGCCGCCAAATAATTATCTGGCGGCCGCCAGATAAATAACTGGCGGCCGCCAGATAAAAAGATCTGGCGGCCGCCAGATAAGTTATCTGGCGGCCGCCAGAAACCTATCTGGCGGCCGCCAGAAATTATCTGGCGGCCGCCAAATAATTATCTGGCGGCCGCCAGATAAATATTTGGCGGCCGCCAGATAACTTTCTGGCGGCCGCCAGATAATTATTTGGCGGCCGCCAGATAATTTCTGGCGGCCGCCAAATAACTTTCTGGCGGCCGCCAGATAACTTATCTGGCGGCCGCCAGATCTTTTTATCTGGCGGCCGCCAGAAAATTATTTGGCGGCCGCCAGATAAGTTTCTGGCGGCCGCCAGTTATTTATGTGGCGGCCGCCAGATAATTATTTGGCGGCCGCCAGAAAGTTATCTGGCGGCCGCCAGATAAAATATTTTTTCTACCTGGCACCAACCGGCTTCCGTACATTTCTTCTAGTGCTGTTTTTTTCTTTTTGCTCTAATGAATATTTGGTCAGCATGTAACTGTAAATGTTATATACGTTATTCTAGTTTAGTATAAAAACATCCAGGTACTTTAACGAAATTCAAACGATCATGAAATAAAAATGTGTTTCTAGGGTAATTAGTATAGTTCTAATTGGTTACTTATTGATTAAAATACTAACGTAAACAAGTATTCAGCAATTACGATTTGAAAGTACTATATTCTCCACAGGTGTTCACACAATAACAGAGTAAGACAACGCCCAGGAAATATCACAAATGGCATCAACTGCATCTACTTTTAATCTAATTTCAAATGCTTATTCTTATGCTTATTCTTATCCCACGAGCTCGCGTTTGTTATCCATCCCATCAGAATACAAATTTGGTTGTACACAGGGAAAAGTGGCTCGCATGATGTTCATGCGTTTGCCTTTTCGCATGAAATTTATGTGAAAATCTTACAAAAATCGTCCCACATGCGAATTTCATGCGAATATCATCATGCAATTTTCATGCAAATTTCACGAGAGCCATTTTCCCTGTGTATTTCAATTTTTATATAATTTTTATTATGAAAATTCTATCCGTCTGTCTACCTAATCAATACATACGACTCACGGTGGGTGTGACGGGTCGACAGGAGATGCTTACTCTTTCTAGGCATCTGATCCCACCTTTGGAATTTTCAGGGGGTCCATGTTTTATGTCCTGTTCATAAATTTGTATTGTTTGTAGATTTTTTTTTACAGATCGATCACTGTTCGTTATTTCTTGTACTTATGTTTTAAGAAATTCTCGTAATATATTTAATCAAATTGATAAACATAAATTTAGACGTTAACCATTTTTTATAAGGGAGTAATACCAGTAAAAAGATCTCGAGATCAATATTTAAAGCAATAGCAAGAGAAAGATTTTTTTTTCTCTTTTTTGTATTTAAAGACTGAATAAAATGCCCTGAATAATTGGGACACTATGTCAAAAATGGAATAGGTATTTTGGCAAAATACTTTATTACTCATTAGAATTAATCATCTATAGACGATTAAAAGTGTCTATATCTTGATACATCGTTCTTTTTATCACCAGTTTTCAAACAGTCTGATTCTTGATTAAAATTAATAATTCATTTTCAACGTTCCATGTAAAGAAAAAATCTCTTGTTACAGAGAAGTTATTAAGATGTAGTCAACAGAAAAAAATTCACATGGCAAGTTTTGAAATAAAACCCCTTAAGGAAAGGTAAGGTAAAGACTCTCTAAGGAAACATGATAGGGAGGTTACAAAAAGAAAACATGAGGAAGAGAAAACCCCGAAGGAATACTCGATGGAGGGACTTACATAAGAAACATCTGCTGGTGTAGGAATGACATTTAAAGTATACCTTGTGAACGAATATCAACTAAAAAGAAAACCGGAGAAGAGAGATCGACCAAACAATACGTTACCCGAAGAATACATGATAGCAAAGTGCTTAAAAAGAAAGCTTGAAGAAGAGATGTTATCAAAACAATCAACAAGGAGAGATCTATAAGGAATGTTCATAAAAAGACTTAAAACATATATACCTGGCTTAGGGAGGTGACCCACAGAATACGTGATTGAAAATTTTCATCAGCACAATATATTATGGAGTAATGTAACTGGGACACATATGATGGGGCGATGCGACCGAAGAATTCCTTTAAAGAAATGTAACCTGAAAAAAACTCTTGATGGAGAGATATAACACATTTCACCTGATGGCAAGACGCCATCACATGAAACCCTGGTGTAGATAAACTCTTGGTAGAAAGATGTCATCCAAAGAACAAATCGGTGTTAGGTAGAAGACAAGGAAAAACAGTTGATGATATTTTCTAAAGCTGTTTGTTTTCGTAATTGATCGATGACTTTTGAAATCCCTTTGAAAAACCAAGCAATGACGTGTTAGTTTTTGACTTTATCTTTGTTTCATCTAATTAAAGAAGCAGTGGGATAAGATATTTAAAAATGATGTCATAGACATCATTTTTTATATAAACATTGAATGTGTGTTTTTAATTATTCTTAGAGTGTGTTTTTTTTCCTATAAACCAGGAAATAGGTGAAATCCGTAAAAGATGTTAGTAAATATCAATTAATTTATGGTGGCAATTTTGCGAAATGGCTGCTACGGCCATCAGGGCTCGTTCCTGCGATGGCCCATGCAGACTTCTTTATAATATGAATCTCTATATTTGTTCTAAAAATGGCGCTTTAATTACAAAATGCACAATAGGTTATCTTTGCCGCAGATCTATAATGTAAATTTAAGATATGAATGTATTTTAAATTTGTTTTCGTTCATGCCAGCTATTTTGTTTCATTTCCTCGATTTATCTATTTACATGTTACAAATACCCTTAGTTTTAAACTTTTATTACATCAACAGAAAGTTGCGGAAATATCATATTGTTAAGAGAATGGTTCATGTAATGTAAAAGCCTGGATAAATTTAACTTTGAACAGCATAAAAAGGAAACAATCAATGTAATGAACACTATTTATCAGTAAGACCCATCATTTTATCCTGTTAGTACATGTGTACACCCAAAGACTCTTTTTAAGTCGTAGTGTTCAATATTTCATTAGTTATTTTATTTCATGAAAGTGCGTTCTAAGTAATTGAAAACATGGAGTGTATTTGGTTGCTTAGAGTGTTGGTTTCAATATTCCTTTTTTGCCCAAATGCATTGGGTGAGTATGGTCTTAAATATTTACAATTTATGCTGGTGTATTTACGATATTTGTACGAGGGTAGTCTTGAATATGGTCAATATGTGTAGACTCGCTTGATTGAATTTTTACAATATTTGTAGAGTGGCGATTTTGAATATTTACAATATTTGTACGAGGGTGGTCTGGAATAAGTACAATGCTTGTATGTGGACGATCTTGAATTTTTATAGTTGTAGAGTCGCAGTCTTGAATATTTAAAATATTTGTAGGTGGATGGTCTTTCTGGAGTGATTGGACCCCGTGTTCTTATCCTTGTGAGGGAAAAACAAAATGGAGGAAACGTCATTGTCTAACTCAGTTTTGTAACGGAGTCTATTATGAGTATGAATACTGCGAGCCCAAAGACTGCTTACTAGGTTTGTTTGAATATTTAAGATATATGTCTTTCTTATTGAGCTCCAAAAAATATATAGAACATTTTCTTTCCAGAAACAAAACCACCGCCAGTAGCTTTTCGGCATAATATCAATAATTCCTACATCCCTCAAGAAACAAACAGATATTTCAAGTCTTCAGGCATAGTTCGAGAAACTATGCAAATGACAACACCGATAACTCATTTAGTTCCTACACTCACCGATCTTCTGAAGAAAATCACACGACAAAAAGAGAAAAATACTGCTACATTTGTAAAGAAAAGTGAAATAGATATTGATGATCATGAAACGAACGTGCAAATGAAAATTCGAGAAGTAACCAAACTAGCATCTCAACCCGCACATGGCAATATGAATGCTAAACAAAATGACCAACCAACGTCCAAAGAAGAAGGAAAAGGTACAGTCATTCTTAATGAAACTTCTTTGCAAATTGATGATACATGCAAAGCTCTTAATCAAAAACATCCATTTGTGTCACTTTCCTAGAGAAGGAAATCAAGATTTCTATTGCACTATTCTCTATCAAATCTATAATTAAACAGATGGGTTTAAAAACTACCATTTTTTTCTCCTACCATTGGTAAATTTTATAATAAATTTTCAGAAAGAAATGTCAATGTTGTGATTTTGGTAGCTGTTCCAATACTAACAGTATGTGGAGTATCATATACGATTGCTAGGATCTACAAAATGTAAGCCATGAATGATATTTTGTTCCATTTTATTGTTCTTTAATATGGAATGTATCATTTAAAATAGGCCCTAAAATATACATATTTCGTACCATTCAGTTATTGCATCAAAGTAAGTGCCCTATATGTTTGATTTTTATTTTTGAAAAAGAAAATTTTTTAATGTACAATAATTGCTATTCAAATGTCATTTACATGCCTATATATAAATATATATATATATATATATATATTATATATATATATATATATATATATATATATATATATATATATATATATATATATATATATATATATATATATATATATATATATATATAAATTTTCATTTTTTTAATTAAGAATAAAAGACAAAAAAGCAAATTCTAAAGAAGCCACAGAAAACACAAGAGGACAATGGCCTTCCTTGTCTTCAAATAAGATTTCCTCCACAGAAGAGAATAGAGAAGTACAAGAGTATAATTACGTGTCTTATGACGAAATAAGCAAGCGCGGTTCATACGAAAACAGCTCACCCTCTCACAGCTATGTCTATGACGTCACTTGGAACTAGCAACCAACAAAGCATATCACAAAAGAATACCGTTTACTTGAATACTGAATAACATACATGTATTAATGGTTTTATATCGTGACGTAAGCTTTATTTTACATGTTAGATTGTTATCATATGCACCGAGTTTTAGTTTATGTATGTTTTACCCATTTCATCAACACGGTTAATAAACTTCAGTTTTATACAGTTGGATTGAGTCAGCTGACTTGGTATTCCAACAAAATGACGTTTCATTGAAAATAAAAATTTTATCATTTAATTTTTCTTTCTGAATTTATTTGTTTGCGACGTGACTATTTAATGTACTGCAGCTACGATGTTGTATTTTGGATCTTATTTATTTGTCTATGACAACATTGATGTATTGATTTGCAGCCTTATATAAACAAAACTTACATTTAAAACTAACAACTTTTTAAAAATCTTTAAAAGGACATGAAAAGAGAGAAGAACCCGAAAAGAAAGGAAAAAAAAAAAAAAAAATCACACAGAACTGGAATTCTGGAGTTCAATAGGTCGATCTCATTGTACATAAAATTTCGTTCATCAAAATGATAAATCAAAGTGAATTGGATAGTTTTGTAAAGGTAAAAAGCTTTTTAAAAAGATAAAGTAGAGAAGACAGGATTACAGATTGAGGCGCATAATATTGTGTATGATAACGTCGATTCTTAAGATTCTTAGATTATGAGAGGGAAACTGAAATTGATTTTCAAAAATATTTTACCTTCAAAACTATAAATACTGAAATATCAAACAATTGTATATATTAAAATATTTACAACTGCTATTATAAGCAATAAGGTAGAGTATAATTACGTTGTCATGAAGCGCAATTGATTGCAACTCATTGTGTTTGGCTTCATATACTTCTTCAGTCATAACTTCATTAATATATACTTTATTGTGCCAAATATTATATATTTTTTAGCTTTATTTTTGAAAATAAAGGCGTTTATAAATATAGGAAATGTTGTAACATTTCATAGAAACAAGTGCTAAGATCAATGCAGGATAGTCAACGCGTGAAAATAATGTTTTCCGCATTTATAATTTAATTTCAATGTATATGTAATTTACCCCATTATTACTTTTTATTTAATTAATGAAATATGAATATAACCTCTAAAAACATCAGAGGTTGGATCAGATGCCATGATAAAGAGATGTCACCAACAGTACACCTAATAAAATGACGTCACCAACAGAACATCTTATAAAGAGTTGTCATCAACAGAACACCTGATAAAGCGACGTCACCAACAGAACACCTGATAAAGCGACGTCACCAACAGAACACCTGATAAAGTGATGTCATCAACAGAATACCTGATAAAGTGATGTCATCAACAGAACACCTTATAAAGAGATGTCATCAACAGAACACCTGATAAAGTGATGTCACCAACAGCACACTTGATAAAGTGATGTCACCAACAGAACTCCTTATAAAGTGATGTCATCAACAAAACACCTGATAAAGTGATGAAACTAACAGAACACCTGATAAAGTGATGTCACCAACAGAACACCTGATAAAGAGATGTCATCAACAGAACACCTGATAAAGTGATGTCACCAACTGAACACCTGATAAAGAGATGTCATCAACAGAACACCTGATAAAGAGATGTCATCAACAGAACACCTGAAAAAGTGATGTCACCAACAGAACACCTGATAAAGTGAGGTCATCAACAGAACACCTGATAAAGTGAGGTCATCAACAGAACACCTGATAAAGTGATGTCACCAACAGAACACCTGATAAAGTGAGATCATCAACAGAACATCTGATAAAGTGAGGTCATCAACAAAACACCTGATAAAGTGATGTCACCAACAGAACACCTGATAAAGTGATGTCATCAACAGAACACCTGATAAAGTGATGTCACCAACAGAACACCTGATAAAGTGATGTCACCAACAGAACGCCTGATAAAGTGACGTCATCAACAGAACACCTGAAAAAGTGAGGTCATCAATAGAACACCTGATAAAGTGAGGTCATCAACAGAACACCTGATAAAGTGAGGTCATCAACAGAACACCTGATAAAGTGAGGTCATCAACAGAACACCTGATAAAGTGAGGTCACCAACAGAACACCTGATAAACAGATGTAATCAACAGAACACCTGATAAAGTGATGTCATCAACAGAACACCTGATAAAGTGATGTCACCAACAGAACACCTGATAAAGTGATGTCATCAACAGCACATCTGATAAAGTGATGTCACCAACAGAACACCTGATAAAGTGAGGTCACCAACAGAACACCCGATAAAGTGATGTTATCAACAGAACACCTGATAAAGTGATGTCACTAACAGAACACCTGTTAAAGTGATGTCACCAACAGAACGCCTGTTAAACAGATGTAATCAACAGAACACCTGTTAAACAGATGTAATCAACAGAACACCTGATAAAGTGATGTCATCAACAGAACACCTGATTAACAGATGTAATCAACAGAACACCTGATAAAGTGATGTCATCAACAGAACACCTGATAAAGTGATGTCACCAACAGAACACATGATGAAGTGATGACACCAACAGAACATCTGTTAAACAGATGTAATCAACAGAACACCTGTTAAACAGATGTAATCAACAAAACACATGATAAAGTGATGTCACCAACAGAACACCTGATAAAGTGATGTCACCACCAGCACACCTGATAAAGTGATGTCACCAACAGAACTCCTTATAAAGTGATGTCATCAACAGAACACCTGATAAAGTGATGTCACCAACAGCACACCTGATAAAGTGATGTCACCAACAGAACACCTGATAAAGTGATGTCATCAACAGAACACCTGATAAAGTGATGTCACCAACAGAACACCTGATAAACAGATGTCATCAACAGAACACCTGATAAAGTGATGTCACCAACAGAACACCTGTTAAACAGATGTAATCAACAGAACACCTGTTAAACAGATGAAATCAACAAAAGACCTGATAAAGTGATGTCACCAACAGAACACCTGATAAAATGACGTCACCAACAGAACATCTGTTAAAGTGATGTCACCAACAGAACACATGATGAAGTGATGACACCAACAGAACACCTGATAACATTGTTTGGAGACATATATCCAAAGGAATACCTTGCAGGGAGATAACACGCAAAAGGATCTGCATAAAAATGACCCGGAAAGATCTCCGAATAAGAGAATTCACCCAAAGAACATCTAATGAAAAGATGACACCCAAAGAACATAAAGTGGATATATACTATATAAATAACACCTGATTGTCTTCGTATTCTCAAATAGATGTATTATTGTTGTGCACTTTCTGTAAAGGTAGTAATTCTAATTTAATATGGTAAGTATCTGTACAAACACAAACATTATTGTCAAATTCTATATTAATTGTATATTCACATAGAAAATAAATGATATTGTATATTTCTCCTATTATATCGTTGTTCTTCTTTCAGTTCGTAATTTATTTGCTGGCGACTTTTCCATCCTTTCTCAGAAAATTCACAATAAGCAGGACACCGGCCACTGTGTATAGTAAGAACGCCACCACACAGAAGGCCCAACCCCAGGAGAGGTTGTTCAGGAAGGCCCCATAGATCAACACTAAGAGCAGGATAAAGCCACCTACAACACACAATCGACTTTTTTTTCAATGTAAATATATATAGAAAAAGAATTGCTTTGTTATGATGAAGACCCTAAAGTGAATGCAGGACATTAAAAGCAATTATATTTTTCTTTAAAATTAACATTTTTTTAATTTCGATTTTCTCTAATTCGTGACTGATCTAGAAAAGTCAATAGGGAATACATCAGATGTAATACAGATTCTAAGTCAGGAATGAAGATCTCCATTAATGAATTTTGTACAAACCTGTAACAAAACAGGTGACTACGGCAGCGATATACACGATATATATGCTAAGCTTCTCTACAAAGATGTACAACACCAGAAGGACTATTGTAGCAATGGATCCTATAAATCCAAAGACTGCAAACATTCGAGAGGCTTCAAACCAACCTGTGAAACATACCAAAGGATCTTAACTAAGGGAAAATGAAAAATATGTTATGTTTATAGTTTCATGCAAAATGATGTAAAACCGGTATTTGCAGGAGAGTGACTTTGACTCTCACCCATGTTTAATATAAAACCAGCTAAAATATCTTCCTTATCATTAAAGTTTAAATATTTTGACTAATGAATGTATGTGGATAAGAAAATTTTTTTAAAAAAAGTATAAAAATAGAAAAAAAAAATGTTTGCATTTAATAAGCATTAAACCCTAATAAAAAATAACTATAGTTAACTATACTAATAGATTACTTAGTTAACTATCGTTAACTTAAGTAAATACTTTGCTACATGATTCACTGTGATACTTTATTGGAAATTTTAGGGTCTTAATATCTCTCTAATTAATGGTGTAAATTTGAGAAATACTAGTAATTGTGAATAGACAAGTTACGTTTACTTTTAATACCTAAAATTGCATGTAAATCTTGGAAAAAATGAAAAATAATAATTTTGAATTCTCATTAAATTTACTTTTTACTATAGTAAAAATTGCCATACTATAGTAAACTATAGCTGACTATAGTTACCTACAGTTTACTTCGGTATTTTTTGCTGGGAATTTTTACACGGCATTACACAATCTACTTACAATTATTAAATTAGGCACCAAATTTGGTAACCGTGTCGTGATGTCACACAAGAACGTATATAAGGTATGTGTAAAAAATACTTTATCAACTATTAAGTGATTCATTTTTAAGAGGTAGAAAATAGAAAATACTCACTCGTCAGATTTTTTAATGAGTAGTCCGTGCATTCTGAGCCTATACAAATTGACCAAAGGCCTTCATGATACTTTTTCAGTTCAAACCAATATGGTACAGAGAAAGCGATGAGATTGATAACAAATGCTGCAATTACTAGAACACAGGATATTTTCAAAAACAGTGGGGTGTCTATCAATCTTTCTTTGATCCCCATGATGGACAAAAATGCTACCGACTCTATGTTTGGTCGTTCTCAATGTTTTGTCATCACAACCGTATGCATAACAACTGGTTCTATGTGTTATGGAGTCCACAGCTACGCTGCAGTCAAATTTTCTTTCTTCCATTCAAATTTCTTATCAGTGTTTTGTAAAATTTTCCTTACCAGGATCCTACAAATGAATGGTGTATAGATAATTCATTTGGAGTTTCACCTTTAGGTTTACCTTTCATTGTGATATTGGACTTTCATTCTGTTAATCAAATTGTGTGTTTACCTATAGTCACATTAATCAAGGTTCTGTATTTCTTTGACTGAATTCCATCAGTAGACACATTCCCGCTATATACCTGTGTATCAGTTCCATAATGTAATGCAGTCGGTTCTATGCTTTCGTTAAGGATAATTTGTATACAATTGTCTTCATTTTTATTTAACAAAGAGTTTATTCTGAACTTTGACCAATTAAATTTTAATTCAACAAAAATCAATAATTTTCTAATTCATAGCAAAATTTGAAAATCTTAATGCTATTCTTTTAAACAGCAACGTTCAACAAACTACGTTTCTGCATGTTGAAAGATAAGAGAATTAATTTGAAAATCTTATCTCTGCCCAAGTGCTCATGATCATTTTCAGACGACCGAATAAATTGTTAAGAAATATGGAGGACAAGATTTATTTATTCTTTATATTACTTTCAAATACAGGTAATGTAAACATGTAACTTATGTTTTTAGGTAGATTGCAATGCAAGAGCCCTATCACTTTTTAGATAGAAAAAAACTAGTATGTACATACAATAATGGACATTATATTAAATTTCAAAAGGACATTCTGATATTTAAAAAAAAACATACACAATGTATATATTTTTTAGAAGAATGTTGTCTTAATTGGAACTGAAATATTCTTCAATCACAGTTTGGACTGTGAACATATCTGTATTTTTGATAAGTTTATTCACAAATAAATAAATTTTCACTTTTTCGAAACATATGATTTATGTAGTAAATTCTCTGGAAGTAGAATCTAAGATTTGCCACACGTTTTCCTGAACGATTATGAACGAATTCAACATAAATCCCCAAAACACAGCTTAAATTTACTAATTCCTGCCTACTGACCTTTGTCTTTAACATTGGGAAAATCTTTATATTTAGGTCTTATTTTCCTTTCAGTGTTCTGTCAATTTGCTGATAATGTGGCCTTCACTTTGGGGCAGACCAAGCACCTATACCTCAGCCATGGAGAACAGATAGCCTATAACAAAGTCATTACAAACAAATCAGCCACGTTTGATCCTCAGGGTTCCTTTATATGTAGAAAACCAGGAATTTATGCCTTTCACTTTTTCTCCTTAGCACATACCCAAAGTAAGATTTGGATAGAACTCTATAAGAACACTAACTATATCTGTTCTGTGTATGGGTATACCTCACACGGTTATGCAGATGCTGGAAATTCTGTTCTGCTTCATTTGAATTTAAATGATCACGTGAGTATCCGAACTCACCAATCATATAACACGACACTCTTTGGAACGGATGATGAAATTTACACCACATTCAGTGGAATATTACTTTCTTCAGACTTATTCGGTACGGACTCTTTTCAAATATATTACATTTAAGCTTTTTAGAGGACAAACTCATATTTATAATATCTAATGATGTCGACAACATATTAAGTTGTTAGCCAGAAACAGTTTTATCTTTCATAACTAACAGATGTATACAAATGGCTTCAATACATTATTTCATGATGATACATATATATATATTGACTTGAAGGTAGACACAAATGCTGGCCGTGTTAAGTTGCATTGTAGTTCATTCTAAGTTTCTTAATTATTTTGAAATGGAATATAAGTGTCCGTATTCTCAATTTTCAAAAAAGGATTGTTCCTTTACAGAACATGCCTATGAGGATGTGACTTTCTCTATGGGAATTGATCATCATTTTCATGCAACTAACGGAGAAATTGTCAAGTATAACAAACTCATCGTTGAAAGTGATGCATACAATCCACTTACGGGTGTATTTACGGCTCCGGAGGATGGAACATACATTTTTCACTATCATGGGCTAGCTCAAAATAATCAGGTAATCATGCGACCGCTTTAAGGTTCTCCTCACTGGGTCTAGGTTTCTGTTATAGGTTAGACAACTAACTTGTCATGATTTTTTTTCTGATAGCACTATTTCTTTTAAACATGCATACTCAATTCAGTTGATATGGTTAGAGCTGTACCACAACAAGGACTATGTAAATGCTGCGTATGGTCACACGGTATCTGGTTTTGCTGATGCTGGTAATACTGCAATACTGCACCTTCGTTCAGGTGACCATGTGTATATTAAGACTAGAAATAACAGAGCGGTTGACCTTTTTGGAACACCAAACGAAGTCTACGCCACTTTCTCAGGGATTTTGTTAGCACCTATAACCCACGATTCCGATGGTAAGTATCGAGTGATTGGGAGGTTTTCAAAACGTTTTCCTAGGTATCCTATAATTCAGTGCATTCGTATGGTGCATGTTTTTAGAGTAACTTCTTTATGAATTTAAATTTCAGATTCCCAGTCAGAAACATCATTTTCTGCTGGCCTTTCCCACCATTTTTCGGGAACCACTCTCATTTTTGACCGAATTTTCTCAAACCGCGGAGGAGGATACAGCCCAGCCACGGGTTATTTCACCGCAAGAGAGAGTGGTATTTATGTGTTTCATTTCCACGCCCTGTCCCGTTCTGATGCTAAAGTCTGGGCGGAGTTATACCATAATTATCACTATATCGACTCTTTGTATGGTAGATCTAATGGAGAGTTTGCCGCCGGAAGTAATGCTGCAGTTTTAGATCTGGTGTCTGGTGACACCGTCTTTTTAAAATCTAGACAGTCTACTAACTCTTACTTTGGGGCGCCAGATGAAGTATACTGTACTTTTTCTGGTTACAAAATAAACTTGGAAGAACAGATAACTATTGGCAATCCAGGTCAAATAATTGGTTAATTGCAATAAAACGTCATAAATCTTTATCTTGATAGTTACTAGTATTTTCTTCGTTTTTTAAGAAAGGAAACACTGGACAAATGTCAGGATTTCAACGTCATAATTCTTCATAAATTTTACCATACAATAGTTTTTCCAATGTATGAATAAAAACGTAGTTATGTAAAGTAAACGTACAGATTTTTAAGCTCGATGAAGATTGGTTAAAGGATGGACGTAAAAAGAATTCACGAGTAATGATTTTAAATTATAGTATTCCAGTAGGGACATATGGAAAATCAAACAGTCAACGTATATCTTAACGTAGTTCAGTCGATTTTGTCCATGTAGATAACAAAAAGAATCTGGGATACAATTTTATCATTATTCATGCTTATTTGGTTTCTTTTCGTTTTGTTTTTTTAAATTCTGGGGGTCGCCCGCGTGGCGCAGTGGTTAGAGGGTTTGCTCTAGAGTCGCGGATTAAGGTTGATCCTTACGCCGCGGGTTCGAATCCACTGTGGGACGTGGAGACCAGTCCTTCGGATGAGACTGTATAAACCAAGGTCCCTTGTCGCAGTAGGTGTTGGCACGAAAAAAGATCTCTCACTGCTCAATGGCTCTGAGTGCCGAGAAGAGGTTAAAATTTGCAACCCTCCACCGGCAAGTGGTGGTAGTCTCCATATTAGTGAAAAATTCTCGAGAGGTACGTTAAACAATATACAAACAAACAAAACAAACTTAATCATGGTGCAAGCGAGACCTTAGCCTGAGCATACACAAAAATAAATAGAAATGGAAAAAATCACGACGAATATGTTTCATGCTGCACTGAATCACAAGCATGCAGCAAACTCTACTTTTGTTATAATTTGGAACGTTGTCAAATGTTGTCATTTTTTATAATATTCCTGAAATGATTTTCATCGGCTTATTCAAGGTGTAATGCACTAAATATCGTTTTGGTCTTTGGGTTACGATACCGAAAGTTGGGTGTTTTCGTGTTATCATAATGTGACAAGAAAGACGACTCATGCTTATTCAATATGTGTCTATCTAATTTATAAGTAATGTGACCTATTGCCAAGCATATTTGCTTACAAAAAACTTATTTAATGCAGGTAGCGCAAAGTAATTTTTCTCATTTCCCCCCGTCCTAAAAAAAATGAACCAAAAGGTGAAAAATAAATACCTCGCGATCTGTAGTTGTTAGGAAAAAAACGTTTTACTACATTTTCAACAGTAAAATATTGCAATATATTAATGGAATAAAAGTGATATTAAAGTGTGAAAAAGTATCAAAGTTTTGTTTTTCCAAACTCTCGGTTTTCCTGGCCTTCACGCAGAGTGTTACTCAAAATACTCACCAGCCCTTTATAAGATTACAAGAATAAATAAAACCACCCTGACAGAGACAAAAACCTGCTTAATTTCCTTTCATCTTGGGTAACAATATTTTTCACATACTTATGAAATACACCGATTCCGCACAGTGCGATGTGGGTAACTAAACATACCCCATATCAACGTCTCGGATGTCCGAAGAACCAATATCATGTATCAGACCAGCCTGCAAAAAATCCTCGGGCCTTTGGCCCTCTGGCCCATATGGGGCCACTTGGGCTGACATGATATAAATGGATTTTAAATATTAATATTCTCTATTTCTGAGCATGATTTAAGATTTGAAGTGATCCGTGATGTCTTGCAATGATAACACAAGCTTTTTACTCTATTGAAATAAAACAATGAAGTTAATATAGAACCTAAATCACTGCATACAACGGGTAATGCGGGCGAGTCGCTACTAAGTACGGGGGAGGCGTTTTTAAGGGGGTAAATTTTCACCGCTTCGGAGTCAGAAGGGATATAAGTCATGTCTTTTTTTTCGTTTTTTTTTTGTTTGTTTGTTGTGTAACGTCCCTCTCGAGAATTTTTCACTCATATGTAGACGCCACCACTTGCCGGTGGAGGGTTGCAAATTTATACTTATGGTCGGCACTCAGGGCCATTGAGCAGTAAGGAATCTTTTTCGTGCCAACACCTACTGCGACACAGGACCTCGGTTTATACAGTATCATCCGAAGGACTGGTCTCCACGTCCTTCAGTGGATTCGAACTTGCGACGTAAGGGTCAACTCCTTACTCCGCGACTCTAGAGCAGACGCTCTTACCACTGCGCCACGCGGGCGACCTTTTTTCAGTATTTGTAAGATGTATTTACAAAAAAAAAATATCCCACGGAAGACAGCAATAGCTAGCTTTGTATGGTCATTCATATACGTCTAGTATTCTCAAATAGTTCTTATCTTTTAAATGCAACAATTAAAACTTGACGTAGTAATGGGTCGGATTCAATTTTTAAAATTACACATCGGCTTTTAAGTCATTTCATCTAAAAGCAACCACCCATAAAAGGGTTTTTTTTACTTAAACAGGAACAATAAGAATATGATTGAAAGCTAATTTATTTGCACTTTTGAATCATCCAAAACACGTTTTGTTGCTTACATTTTAAAGGTAAACTACCAGCGTTAATTTAAATAAAGTGTAGAAAATGTTCGCTCTTCGTCATATTATTCTGAAAAAAATTAACATATTATATAAAAAAAAAATTATATTTCATATGATCAAATAGAATTCATAATATCATTATAAATTCAACATGTTTGGTCAACACCGAGCAATCTTATAAAGGTAACAAACGTTACCTCAAAACATAACGTCCTAACTCCACCTCTTAATTTCAAAAACAGTCTGTAGCGCCCCATCCATTCATTTAAAAAGTTTCTATACCACTTTACATCACAAGCCTTTGGATTGATTTAATTTCACACCTCTGATGTTTTGGAGGTCCGTGTTTGCTCTGCTCCTTTTTTGTAATGTTTAATGGACTTTTGAGCTTGAATACTGTTCGTTATCTCCATATATTTCATTAATCCGACTGAAGAAAAAAGGGCATTTAAAAAGATGTGGAACTTCCCTGATAAGATACTCAATATAATACTAATTAATCAAGGGATTTAAAATTATACTCTCTCATCTTATCTCTTCACTTATAAACGATCTACATCACTACCAACTTTCATTTCGAATTTCCGTATATTTCTTAAGATATGCTGAAATCAAGTTATGATAAAAGTCTGCGTCCTATTTTTTAATGACCCTTGTACATCTGGAAGTTTGGGAAAATTCCAACCTCCAAATGAATGCAGGAAGAAAGCATCTGCCAAAATAGATTTTAAATATTTCTTAAAGTCACAAAAAGCTTAATTTTGAGAAACTCAGTTGCTTCAATTGCTTTGATACAATCCAAAAATATATTAATTTACACGTGATTCTGTGTGTTGTTAACTTTAAAAGGGGAAAAATCTCACGGAAGTCATATTGTAATAATTATTTGTTAGTGGACATATTCAATGGGAAACCATTTACACTTAAGTGAACAAGAAGTGGGTTATCATTGAATTGTGTCAGTTAAGCTATTTATTAAAAACGTAAAGATACTTGAGGACCCTGTAGTGTTTGGTCACATTACAAGTATTTTTTTTTCGGATGACAGTCAATAGGAACCTATGTATACATTATATTTTTGTCCCTTTTTATTTTAGAGATATGTAAAATTAATGAGTAGGACATTATTGTCGAATAGAAATCAAAGTCGCAAATTTTTTAAAAAAAAAAAAGAGATTTTTTACAGACATAAAATTGTTAGTGCAAAACAATCCTTAAACAGGATGGAAATTATATTTACTCATATCATCAAATACATTGTATTACATCAAAGGAATATGACCCAGTAATTGAAACTGCAACATGTTGTAAATACTCGGATAATTTACGCAATAGAAAAAGTGTCAATATATTGAGGAGTGTTTACATGACCTGACGAGGTATTTGTTGTCTTTCCTTACATGTAATGTAAATGGAATCTTTTTTAACATTGATTCAAGGTGGTAAGCCCAAAAATAAATAGTCAATGATACGTTTTTCGCTTTATTTTACTAATTAAAAACATGTCATGTAGTCTGACTTTGATAATTTTATATATAAAAAAGAATTAACATTTTGGTGGAGTTTCTTTATTTATTAATGTAAAAAAAAAAGAAAAAGAAAAGAAAACTGTATTAATGTAGGCCATGAGGAAATTGCCAATGAAATTAACAATTAATTAAAATTCAGAATGGGAAATTACTTTGTTAAAATCACTTTGATTCTACACAAAGGTACTCTAAAATTGACATTAAAAGGATACTGGACTTCCTCTGACAACATTTATGTAGTCTACAGCGACAAGGTCTTCCAACAAACTTTTGGAATTCCGAAGGACACTAATTGTGCTCCTTTATTAGCCGACCAGATTTTATATTCCTATGAAGCAGAATTTATTCAAAAACTTCTACATGAGAAGAAGAAAACAATTGCCTTGACCTTCAACTTGACATTCAGATATATCAATTAATATTAACTTCCATTCATGTATCGACTACCAGATCTGTTTCATATTCGAATGTTTTACTGGCTCTATATAATATATCACAAATATTGTCATTGTCTGGTGGAAAAAGAAAATCCTTCATTATTGTATTTAAGAACTTTGATATCAGTTAAAACCAGAAAGTAACGCGGAGATTGCATAACTGTTAAAGACCTGGCAGTCTACTTTCATCATGTACACATATTTGCTAACATTGAGCCAAAATGCCGTTACAAAGTTTTCATAGGCATAAGACTTGTATCCTTTTTTCTATAATATCGATTTCGCTTTTTCTTTAGTTAAATGTTACGATTTTCGTATGTTTTATACCGTAATTGGTAAATAATGTATATCAGGATATAACTAGGTTAATCTACGTGACCGATGGTTACTAATACATTTATGTTTGTTATTGGTATATGCTTTGGCTGCTTTAAGTCACGTTCTATAGGCAAACGGAAGTAAGGATTTAAATGATGTGCACTGATATGGTAAATACATGTATACATGTATTCATTCAAAAAGAAAAAAATATCCTTATCTGCAGATAAAGCTGTA